TTCAGTCCGCCATCTTCACTGCCATGATCGTGCCTCGACCAGATGCTTGGAAGCTCCGACTCAATGTCGATTTATGGTCCACCGTATACGGAGTGAGGAAAGCCTCATCATCTTCATCTTCTTCTTCTTCTTCATTGAACTCAACGGTAAATAAATAACGGTTTTTTTTTTCTTTTACCGGTGGTAAAAAGGGAGTAGCAGTTTCGGGTTTCGTCGTATTTGCTCAGCTATGGTGTACGGAACGGAAAGGGCCGGTCTTCGTTACGATGTTCAACCCGCTTTCGACAGTTCTTGTCGCAGTTCTCGCTTACTTTGTTCTTGGCGAGAAGCTTTACCTCGGCAGGTAAAAAAAACATATCTCAGATCTTGATCTCCTGCATGAACTCGATTCCTCACTGGTATGCTTTGCATGTTATATGTCTCTGACGATCAATCTACTAGACGTTGATTATTATAGGTAAGTACGATGTTCAACCCGCTTTCGACAGTTCTTGTCGCAGTTCTCGCTTACTTTGTTCTTGGCGAGAAGCTTTACCTCGGCAGGTAAAAAAAACATATCTCAGATCTTGATCTCCTGCATGAACTCGATTCCTCACTGGTATGCTTTGCATGTTATATGTCTCTGACGATCAATCTACTAGACGTTGATTATTATAGGTAAGATTTAAATAATACGTAATACTATTGTAAATTTTTTAAAAATATTACAGTGTGGTAGGAGCGGTGGTCGTGATAGTAGGACTGTATCTTCTTCTATGGGGGAAAGAACATGACAGAATTCAGAGAAGATTGAACGAGCAGTTGAATGAATCGGAATTCAGACAGGATCAAGTGTCAGAAGCAGTTCCAAACTAAGAACTATAGATCATTCAATGAATAACATCAGTCCCATATTATCTGGAACTCAAAAGTGTTAAAAAAGATCATCAGATGTTTTTTTTTTATATCATTTCAAGAATTATGGATAATTTTCTTTTTCATTTTAATCATTTTCCGAATAAAACGAGATACACTGTCTAATAATAATATAATCTATTATTTTAAAACTTGTTAAGGTGTGTTTTATTATTACTTTTTATTACAACAACACACGCGTTAGAGAGCGAATAAAAAACGTAAACAATGCTCTAAATGTGGGCCCATTGGCCTCAAAATCCAGTGGTCCAAGATTGGTTAGTTGTTAATTTAGATGCCCAAAATATTGGGCTGGCCCAATCTGGTTAATTTCTATTTGATGACAATTTTTTTTATTTGATTTTCTCAAAATATAAATAATTTTATCACAATTAAATGAATTGGTCTGACTTTTCTTAGGCCATTTTATCCATTACATAATTTTATCATTAATTTTTTTGATAAATTATTCACTATATATATATATATGTATATGTGAACAGAGACAGCCCCGAGAAAAATAAATAAAATTATATTTTATTGCAAAAATATTAATTTAAATTTAAAATTATAGAAATGCCATTTTATTATGAATTATATTAAAATATTAATATGAACAATTATAATTTAAAAAGAAAAATATAATTTGAATCATTTACATAATTTTGAAGCGCTAAGACTGGACGGTAAAAAATGATTTTAATTATTTATTAAATATTATATAAATAAATATTAATTGTAAACTATTAAATTCATTTAAATTTAAAATTTTTTAAAAATAATGGACCTACCTAATTGCGCCTGTACTATGGGCCCTAATATTAAGTTGGTCTATTAACAAAAATAATAGATGCCCAAACGACGACGTATCAGTGATTTTTAATGTGGTCCTTTGAAATTGGACCGTGATATCGATAGGGACCACGAAGGAAGAAAAAAAAAGAGTAAAAGGTTGGTGCAATGGGCACGTGAGGAGTGGGTCCCCCACGGTCAAGAGACGCTTCACCCAAAATTGAAAGTCGTTTCCTTTTTTTTATATATATATATATATAATTGTATTTTCTTTTGTGAAATTCATAATTTTATTTTGTACTCATCATGCATGATCCATCTTGATTCGATTTCAGTATATTTCTAAAGGGGAAATTTTATAAACATACCAAAATTTATTTAAATATACCATAAATATTTCAATTTCGAAATTACTAAATAAATATTTCAATTTGATCAATTTGTAATATATAGATACCAAAATTGATGACGGTGTTAATCGAAAATACCGTCAATTTTATTAAATAGATAGTAAATTGGTATCTATTTTGTACAAATTGATCAAAGTGGAGTATTTATTTGATAATTTAGAAATCAGAGTATTTATATGGTATATTTAGATAAATTTTGGTATTTTTATAAAAATTGGCCGTTGAATAACCTATATTTTTACGGAGAAATTAACATAAGTGTGTTTCTTTCTGATTTTAATTTTGAACATTTTTTTAAAACCTGTAATTGATAGCAAACTCAAATAATATACACGACTACGTACGATGAATGTGTAGCTTTCGCCTTACGCCTAACACCCTTAGTCAAATGATTTTACTCAATTGCATTATTTTATTTGAGTGGACTATATTTCTCTCTCTTTTATATATATATATATATATATATATATATAATATTGTGTGTGTAGACATTGTTTTGGCACGGGATACATATATGATAGTGGTTTGCCCCAATTGTGCCATTAGAATTAACAGTGTTTGTTTAATGGCGTAATTATGAAAAATAAATTACCAATTGTATCCCGTCGGCGTAATATCATAATTCATAATTCACGTAAGACCAACTTTTATGTGGATATGTCATGACTATTATTATTGTGTATATAACTATAGGCCAAGAACAAGTCTTACGATTAATTTGACCACGTGTCGAATTTTATATCGCAACACTTTCATTTATAAAAAAATAAATAATATGTAATAATTTGATTCCTTATTAGCTTGAACGAGGTGATCTTTTTGGTCCTTTGTTTGTGTTTAGATTCAAAGTTTTGGACTGCTTCTTTGTCTTCTTTTCTACTCACCGGGACTAAGACGAGTGTGTAACAATATATTAAAATATGAAAAAATCTCTAAAAAATATCTCAACTTCTCAAATATTTTACGTATAGTTAGTTTTTTTACCATTTCTTTTAATTAATTTAATTAGTTAACATCAAAAGATTTGGCATCCATGGTTTTGTGAAGGACTTTCAAAGCAGATAAAGCCATTATTTTTCTAATTGATTTGATAGCTTTGATTGATATTATTTGGTTCAAGGGGGCATGTATCCTTGACCCCTTATAACCAACCATCTTATTTAAAAATCATATCCATATATATAGTATGTGTGTAGTGTAATAAAATATTGGGAATTATGGAGAGTTATGAAATATAATTTCATAATAGATAACTCTAACTCTTTATAACTCTCCATAATTCTCAATATACAAAAAAAAAGAAATAATACAAACAAATATAATTATAGTGATATGATGTCGATAAAATAGAACTGCGTAAGTAGAGTATGTATGCAGGGGTCGAGTTGGTGAGTTGTTATTTTTTATTTTTGGCATAATCATTTTCACATTTATCATGTTATTTTTCTTCTTACCCAAATACTTGATTTCTCATTGTGTATATGTGCATACTTTTTTTTGGAATATTTCGGGTTATTATCTAAGCAAATCGTAATTATAAAAAAAATTCAAATGGAATAATAAAATGAGTATATTTAAAATAAATTAATATAAAAACCCATTGAATATAATTAGATAAATTATATATATATATATATTCACACGCTTCTCTCTTTCTCTTTCTTAAGGTATTTTGGGTGTTTTTATAAACTCTCGTTAAGTTAATATGCTTGACACGTTTTATATATTAAAAATTAACGTAATTGTAGACTTATAGTATGCTTGATATTTAGGAGCTATATCGTGCTTTATTTATTTATACTATGTTTTTAGTTTTTCAATAAACTATAGTATGTAACAAAAAAAAATTGTCGTCCGATTATTTTTCCCTACCAGATAATCAATTAAAAATGTTTTCCTTCAAAAAAAGATGGAAAAAATAAAGAACAAAATATTTCTTCGTCTTTAATTTCGTGTATAACCGAATATTACATTTTCTAACTGTATAACGAGCGACCACAAGATTTGACAAACAGAACAAGCCAGGACACGAAATCCAAAGGATTTGAGATCACTATCTGACGTCAGCAATGCTGACCTGGAGACCCTCTGTTTGGCTGACGCGTGGATAGATATCATTATGTGGGTCCCGCCGCCCCGATCATGATAAACCAAGCTATATTTTATATCGATTAGAGTTTATTACTATGAAATTTAAATCCTGACATAAAAAGTTTTCAAAACTCTAACTTATACATATTATTGGCAAATTCACTATTTTATGGAAGTGACGTGCCATAACACGTGTTATAATTGAAATATTGGGGATATTTCTAGAAACTAAATATTGGGGATAACACGTGTATAGATATATATATGTAATATGTAATTTTTTATTTTATTTTTAAAAAATAAATTTTAAAATTATGTAATTTTTTAAATGTCTTTTAAAAAAATATTTCATTTTATTAGTTTTTTAAAAAAATATGGAAATTTTTTATTTTATTTTATTTTATACTTATTTTCTGATGTGGCAGGATGATGTGGCGAAATATGATGATTTGACAAAATCTGTATGACGTGGCATGCCACGTCAGCATCAAAATTGACGGAACCTAACGTCATTTACGAATTTGGGGGAAATTGTAACACATTTTAAGATTTTGTGTGGAAATTTGGAAATATTTGAAATACGGTGTAGTTTTATATCAAATTAAAAATTGGTGTAGAAAATTGGAACTTTTTCGAAAAATTGTGGGGGAATATGGGATTAACCCAAAATATATTAAAGCTAGTTCTCATGCATTCCTTACAATCAAAAGTCATATATAATTTTCGTAGGTTATGAATAATTAATTTAACAATAAATATTTATATATCCCGCTTTTGATTATTTATCAGGTTGTTTTCCATTAAAAAATAATAAAAAAATAAAGAACAAAATAATTCTTCGTCTTTAATTTCGTATATAACCAAAATGACAGTTCTAGCTGTATGATGAAGACCGGAAGCTTTGACAAACAGAACAAGCAGAAGATCCAAAGAAACCGATGTCTTAATCTGACGTCAGCAATGCTGACTTGGCATCTATATGATTGGCTGACACGTGGATCATTGCCCTTATGCGGGTCTCCCGGCATTCATGGCTCCGTTTTTCTTTACCGTAGTAAATCGAAATGGTGATTATAACATAAATAACTAAATCTTGATAGGGAGAACGTACATGGTTGTTACAAGGGAAATTCACATATATTATTGGCATACATTCTATTATGTGAAGAATAATTGTCTAAATTTTTTTCTTTTGCAACGGATATTATTAAAATTACGACAAACATTTCTTACAAAAACAATAATATATTAACAATATAGTTATTGTATGATTGAGATAAGATATAAATTAGACACCTAATTGACAATTTAACAAAATGAAAATAATTACATTTCGACATAAACACAAACAAATCAAGTATGTGGTTGGTTTTGACCGTTCAAAAATCACGCCCTTGAAACATTCGCTACACGTGTGCCGAGAGGCCCGAGACCATTGTATCTGAAATATCCACGGACCGCGGTCCGTCCATTGGGAGGGGAAAACATGATGCATATAATGCGAATTCAATAGTGCATGCGCGAGAAAATGTTATATTTTTTCGCATTTAATTAAAGCTTAGATGAATATCAACACCATAGAATTAAGTTATAGATTGTCTATACTTTTTTTAGTTTTTTGGGTAAAAGGGCATTTTATTGGCTATACTTTGTACGTATCAAATGGGACAATTTCGTCTAATTACAAAAAGAAAAAAACCTTTAAAAATGGGTCGCTACTGATATTTTGTGTTTTACGATAGAGAATAATTAAATACTTAAAAAGTTATTTTAAAATGAAGATTGTCTTTATTCGAACCTTCGGCGAAGTAGAAGAGTTGTGGAGTGGTATCTAACCTAAAAAAAAAAGATTAAATGTCCTGATTTATTTCATTCCTTTTTAAAGATTTATCTGAAATTTATCATTCAACCCTTACAACCATTTTCTCACGTGCGGGTAAACTCGTGTCCTTTTCGGACATTTACTGACGCATGCCTTCTCTGTCTCTCTCTATATAGACGTCATCGAGCACACGAAACGTCTTAACGAAACAGAGGAAAAAAAACACATGTATCCATCTTTTCTCCAGCCACCGATCTCCGGCTTCTCGCCGGAATATTCCCTCGAATCCTCGACGGAATCTTTCTCTTCCTCTCCATATTCTTTCAACGAATACTCTCTCCCTTTCAACGAGAACGACTCAGAGGAAATGCTTCTTTACGGCCTTATCCAGCAAACGGTTCAGCCCAAATCAAGCTCGAGGAGGTCTCTTCCTCCATCGAAGAAGAGACTAAAATCTCAAGAAAAGATCAAGAGAAGTCATATAGAGGCGTTAGACGTCGTCCGTGGGGCAAATTCGCCGCCGAGATAAGGGACTCGACTCGAAACGGGATCAGGGTTTGGCTCGGAACGTTCGACAGTGCGGAAGATGCGGCTTTGGCTTACGACCAAGCCGCTTTTTCGACGAGAGGGTCTTCGGCGATATTGAATTTCCCCGTGGAGAGAGTTCAAGAATCGCTGAAGGACATGGAGTGTAGCCACGAGGAAGGCTGTTCTCCGGTCGTGGTGTTGAAGAGGAAGCACTCTATACGACGGAAAACGATGAGCCGGAAGGGAAAAGATGCCGATTCCGATCACCGGAGGGGAGTTAGGGTTGATAATGTGGTTGTGTTTGAGGATTTGGGTGAAAAGTATCTGGAGGAGCTATTGAGATCTTCTGAAAGTATTGGGCCTTGGTGAAATGTTTGAGAAAATACGGGGCTACATTTGTGATTAATTTTAATTGTAACCGAGTGGAATATTCGTGTATGCAGTTTTCATCTTTGGGTCGAAGTAGATCGTTTTTTTTTTTTTTGTAATATAGTTAGAGAAGGAGACTGGTAAAAACAATTTAGATCGAAATATATACGTCGTAATATTTTTTTTTCTTTCAAAAAAGGATACAAAAGTACGATGTTATGTTATGTATTCGTAGACTAGAGATGGACCGTCACGTGACGCTGGCGCTTATCCAAAAATATAATTCGAAGAAATCAAGGAAATGCCAAAGTCAAATGAAAAACGTGATTTGATTTGTTCATGCGTGTACCTTGTCAAGGTATGAGAATGGAAATTAAACCCATTTTCAAGTTGATTTTTTAGGATATGATATTATATTATTCCCGATGTTATTCCAATACTAGTAACCATGATTAAGACTTTCATGGATACAATCGATTCAAATAAATTTCTAATTCTCTATCGGTTATAACATTCAAATCTTTATTTTCAAGGTCTCTGCTCTTATTCCAAATTCCAATTTCAAACCAAAAAGCTTTTAACAGTTGACAACCTTCTAGAATTTTATCCTACCTTCTCTATATTTATTTATATATTTTTTGTCACGCTATTTTATTATCGAAAATAATTCACATAAACACCACACACGGTAATTGTTCGACATGATTTTTCTTTATTTACTCACCTACGTTAATACATCATACGTTTATTCTGTTAGAAAGATTGAATTCTGTAATTGAGAATCATTATAAGATATTCCACGTGGAGGGGTCACTCCATAACATTTACGAAAAACATCACATAAGCATTAAAAAATAACTTTCCAAATTCGAATTAGACACGTGTTTTTAAATTTTGGCAAGTGGCAAGGGAAAAAAACAAAGAAAAGGAGGCGAAATTGTTCTTAGCTTTTGGGTCAAATAACTGATATATATATATATATATATTATTATATATATATATATAATGCAATATGGAATGGTATAGTAACATAAAAATAAATGTTGACGTCGATTTGATGGCTTGTCAAGATTGGTTAAATGAATTGGGTCACTTCTCGTTATTAAAAAAAATTGTCAGTTGCAAAAGAAACAAATAATAATACAAAAATAAATAAAAGTGATATCGGACATAAATTATGGTCTACATTCAGCGGCGAAACACAAAAACAAATGTAGTTCATTATTGTTTGGAACGACATTTGATATTTTCCTCCGTCATAAAAAATTAAATAATATTTACAAACACGATTTTCGACCAAAAATGTTTTTTTTTTCAAGTTAAATTCATTAGATCATCATGATCACACCTTACATATCACACTAATCATTTGATAAAATCATAAAAAATCTAACGTTGTTACCAATGTGACCATCATATGACTATATAATTATTCTGATCACAAAGTCACAACTGGAGAAGGGTAGATGTAGAAGTAGTTTTAGCATAAAGATAATATTTTGGATATTTTGCCTGTTAAACCCTAATATAGAAATTTTCCAAAATCCTAAATTATACATAATATTGGTAAATTTACTTTTTTTCACAGATAACATATATGTTCAAGAATCTAATATGAAATTTATGTAATTAACATGCCATATCATGATTTACGATTGATAAAATTTGTAATGTTTCTAGAATTGAGATATTTATTAATGTTAGAGCCATTCCATGCAATTTTCAAAATAAATGGAAAATGACATTAAGGAAAATGCAATTTCCATTTTCAGAATCTACGCTTTCCAAATATTTGAGAGATTTTTTTTGTTCCTGATGTATATTTTGAGTTTTAAACGAATTATACTATTATAGTAATACAATGTCTATTTATCTTATGGATACATTACTACCGATTACATCGAAAGCCCATTCACGGCCCAAAATAGAAAGCGCTATAAAATAAACGAATACCGCGATTCCAATGAAAGCCCATTAAGGGCCCAAACGAGAAAACACTATATAAAATAAATAAAACTAATATATAAAAATGAAACAGCCAAACAGGTAAGTTCCCCTTTTTCAATATTTGCTTTAGTTGGTAATGAGAAATACGTAACATGCATGAACCATTCCCTCAAGGACTACATCAATTTTGAAGTAATAAACTTTTTAAAAGGAATATTTGAATATAATTCACAATATATTATATATATACACAATATTTTAGCTTTCGGATTCTATAAACCATTTATTTATCAAATTATTCCATGACCTATAGTTAAAAATGTTGACGTCGATTTGATGGCTTGTCAAGATTGGTTAAATGAATTGGGTCACTTCTCGTTATTAAAAAAAATTGTCAGTTGCAAAAGAAACAAATAATAATACAAAAATAAATAAAAGTGATATCGGACATAAATTATGGTCTACATTCAGCGGCGAAACACAAAAACAAATGTAGTTCATTATTGTTTGGAACGACATTTGATATTTTCCTCCGTCATAAAAAATTAAATAATATTTACAAACACGATTTTCGACCAAAAATGTTTTTTTTTTCAAGTTAAATTCATTAGATCATCATGATCACACCTTACATATCACACTAATCATTTGATAAAATCATAAAAAATCTAACGTTGTTACCAATGTGACCATCATATGACTATATAATTATTCTGATCACAAAGTCACAACTGGAGAAGGGTAGATGTAGAAGTAGTTTTAGCATAAAGATAATATTTTGGATATTTTGCCTGTTAAACCCTAATATAGAAATTTTCCAAAATCCTAAATTATACATAATATTGGTAAATTTACTTTTTTTCACAGATAACATATATGTTCAAGAATCTAATATGAAATTTATGTAATTAACATGCCATATCATGATTTACGATTGATAAAATTTGTAATGTTTCTAGAATTGAGATATTTATTAATGTTAGAGCCATTCCATGCAATTTTCAAAATAAATGGAAAATGACATTAAGGAAAATGCAATTTCCATTTTCAGAATCTACGCTTTCCAAATATTTGAGAGATTTTTTTTGTTCCTGATGTATATTTTGAGTTTTAAACGAATTATACTATTATAGTAATACAATGTCTATTTATCTTATGGATACATTACTACCGATTACATCGAAAGCCCATTCACGGCCCAAAATAGAAAGCGCTATAAAATAAACGAATACCGCGATTCCAATGAAAGCCCATTAAGGGCCCAAACGAGAAAACACTATATAAAATAAATAAAACTAATATATAAAAATGAAACAGCCAAACAGGTAAGTTCCCCTTTTTCAATATTTGCTTTAGTTGGTAATGAGAAATACGTAACATGCATGAACCATTCCCTCAAGGACTACATCAATTTTGAAGTAATAAACTTTTTAAAAGGAATATTTGAATATAATTCACAATATATTATATATATACACAATATTTTAGCTTTCGGATTCTATAAACCATTTATTTATCAAATTATTCCATGACCTATAGTTAAATTTTGTTTTATAAAAGATGATTCATCATAAAATCGATAAAACTATATTTAATATCGATTGATTAGTTAAACTATAGCTTATTATTAGTTGATTGTGTAGCAGCCATATACGCGTGGATCATTTATATTTCCACAATCAAATAAAAATTTATCTTATGGATACATTATTATATCAAAAGGGAACCCAATGTGTGTATCTCTTGCTTGTTCGAAGCAAACGTGGAAATCTCCTACCAGGTACCAAGGATTCGTCACTGTAACTGTTTGAGCAATTGGAGGTTTGAAAAGTAAAGTTAATCTTATATGAATATATTAAGTCATAATGCAATAAATAATAACAACAACAAGAATAATAATAATAGATTAATAAAATATGTCATAGTGGAAAACAATGTTATAAAATTCTTATGATGCCCAATGATGATGTAAATTGTCTTTTGTTGGTCAATAAAATGAATTTGGACTTGTAAAATTACTGAACTGATAGCATATGTTCATACCATTTGAAATATTCTAAAATATCTGGCTTGTTCAGCTTAAAATTATATTATAATTGATTTATTTCAACTTAGTTCTTTATAATTACGTCAATTTATTTTTTAAATCAACCAATATGTTTCTTTCGTCAGTATATATATATTCCAACCTATATAAAAAAAAATCCATTTTTTTTACTAGTGGTATGTAAAAAATATTCATAAGTTTTTTTATTTATACAATTTATATTTCATAAAAAAAAGAATATATTCACATATGGGAGAATGCATTTACTAGTCACAGAACACGTGTTCTTTCATTTTCAAAATACAATCATAATTTCGTCGTTTAAAATAAAAAAAAACTGCTCAATTTTCAATGACAAAAAAGACATGCGTTAAATATGGATAGATGAGATATTTTATGAATTTATTAGAAGGCGTATATGAAAAAATCCAACAAAATGATATTTCCACAATTTTCAATGATTAAAAAGACAAAACGTTATTTTATGAAAATTGTTATTATTGTTATTTATTATGTGTGTTTCAAACAATTTGGCGTCTTGATATATGCATTTCGTTTGCATATATTATCATCATCCCGTGCGTGTGCGTGTGTATATATACATGAAATTGCTCGAAATGGGTAAAAAAGATTAATGATATGGTATGATATTATATTACTACAAAAAGTCATTCGTGGCCGCCCTATGCGAGACATAAAATCTAAATATTTTGAGACTTTTAATGCATAAGAACATATTGGATGATATAAAAAACCATAAATTGCAATTTACCAATAAAGAAACATGACGAAATGATGATTATAATTAATATATAAAATCATAAAAAGCAATATTTTCAAATGTAGTCGACGCGATGTTGTCCGTTTCGAACGTGCTCGTGCCCTGCCTCGTGTGTTGCCCGGTGACTTATTCTCCCTCACAACTTTCACATATAATATTTAAATGAAAGATGGAGTGTGAAACATCTTTTTTTTACATGGAATTAAAAATTCTTTACTTTCTTTACGACGATGGCCGATATAAATTATAATAACCCAAGAAACAAATCTCTCTCTCTCTCTCTCTCTCTCTCTCTCTCTCTCTCTACACGAAGCCGACAGGCCGATATGTCCGAGTGTTGGAATTATCCCACATGCTTTTTTGACTTCTCTCAGTATAAATACCCACACCTTTATCATTCCTATATGCTCTGCTCTTCAAGCTCTCATCTTTATCACATCATCATCACCATCATCATCTCTTCTCTTATCCAAGAAAATTGACAGAGAGAGAGAGGGAGATGGGCAGAGCTCCATGTTGTGAGAAGACGGGGATGAAGAAAGGGCCATGGAGTCTGGAAGAAGATCAAATATTGGTCTCTTTTGTCCTTCAACATGGCCATAGTAACTGGAGAGCACTCCCAAAGCAAGCTGGTGAGAATATATTTTAAATATTTTAGGGTTTTTTTTTTCCGTAAAAGAAAAAAGAAGGATAAATCTCGATTTCGAGCTTTTCACCTCCATGGTTATTGTTCCTAAATCTAGGGTTCTGTTTCTCGTGAATATGCTTATAGGTCTCTTGAGATGCGGAAAGAGTTGCAGACTTAGATGGGTGAACTATCTTCGACCCGATCTAAAGCGAGGAAATTTCACCAAAGAGGAAGAAGACACTATTATCAACTTGCATGGAATGCTTGGCAATAGGTACATATATATATACCTGTACCTTTATACTTATACCAACTACCATATATTAAACTTTGTATTAACACAGGTTGGTCCACACAAATGTTAATGGAAGTATTACAATAATCTTTTGGGTGCATTTTCTTTTTGTTTGTTCTAGGTGGTCTTTAATTGCGGCAAGATTGCCCGGAAGAACAGATAATGAGATCAAGAACGTGTGGCACACTCACTTGAAGAAGAGACTCAAAGATTACCAGCCGACAGAACTGTTGAAACCCGGAAACAAGAAGATTTCTAACAAATCCAACCCCGAATCTTCGACCAGCGAATCAGAACATGACCCTTACAGCTGCTCGCTCTCACGTTCGTCTTCGACCAGCGACATTTCTTCTGCAACACTAATGGGCAGTGAATTTGAAAACAAGAAGGAGACCGAATCACGGGAAGGTAACGGCATCGAAGATTGTTATTCGTTTGAGGATTTCGTTGCAGAGATTGACGAGAGTTTCTGGGACGAGGCATTGTACAACAACGGTCAGAATTCAGAATTCGGTTCAATGGATCCGGAAATAAGCTTTGAAGTGAAGGGTTTTGATGAATTATTACCACAACAGATTCGGTTCGGTCCGGCCGGTAATCTGAACGATTTCGCTCAGAGTACGGATGATGACGGGATGGAATCCTGGTACGACATGTTGGCTAGAACTGGCGGTGACCTAAAATTGCAGGGCCTGTAAAGGTTTCTTGAGGGACAAGTAACATCTGAATCATTAGGACAAGAGAGTGTTGAAGCTAAAGAGACTCTAGCCATTAGTGTCTCCACTTTAGGAGATTTCACTAGAAAATTTGATTTTGTTTTTTGTTATAGCATGTCTCCGAGTTACAATAAAAGATCATAGATTTGGATTTCTTTTGTTCTTGGCTAATAAAAGTAATAGTATTTTTTTTTTGGAAAAAATATCATAAAAATATTTGAACTTTACAAAAGATATTAAAAAAATATATCAATTGTTAATTTGACAAAGAAATATACCAAATGTTGAAATATACAAAAAAACACCTTAACTTCTTCAAATCGAAAGCAATTTCATACACAATCCTTAATTACACTATTGATAATTCTATTCAAATTATTTGAAATTGTTCCATATCTAAATTTTAACAACCTTTAACATTCTTTATTCGAAAACAATTTCGTATTCTCGTACGATATCTTCGATACGTAGAAATTATTTTTAATTTCAAGAGTTGATATTTTTTTTGTATATTTATATTTATTTATCAAATTAAAAAGTTGATATATATTTTTTGCCTGTTTTATAAAATTTGGGTGTCTTTATGGGATTTTTCCAAATTTTTTCATGGCAATGAAATGCTTGCAAAGCCAGATTTTAGTATCAAGTCTCTCGATTTCTAGAAACGTTCCATTATTTTCAAATTATAGATTGTGTAATGGCGTGTCGTTTCCATAATTTCATTATAAATTCTCCCACAAATATGACATAAATGAAAAAAAAAGTAAATTTACCAATAATGTGCATACGCTAGGGTTTTGGAAAAATTCTATATTATAGCTCAACGTCTCGTTATATATATACCTCTACCGATATACTAATCGACACAAGAACACAAAATATAATCGATCAAATTTTTTATATTTTTTAATAATTATTTTGTGTTGTTGATTTTCGAATTAGGTTCATCATTATGGATCAAGTTCTACTCTACGCGATCGTCCTTGCCGCCGGAGTCGTTGTGTTGTTCGGTTTCTTTGCGGTCTGCATTTGGTCGTCACACCGAGGAGGCTGATATGGGTCGCTACAATAACCCTTTTTTTTAAAAGATATTTTAGAGTTTCGAAATTATTATATTATGTTGCAATAATTATTTTCTTTTGTTTTCTTCTTCTTCTATTTGTTATAGTTGTTAAACCGAATTTTCGAATATTTATATTGAGTATTTTTTTTTTAAATTGAGATTTGTTATAGTCTTGTTATATATATATCCAGAGATAATTGATTTGATTTCATCTTTATATTTTACATATTTATATTAATTAAATAAGATATTCTAGATCCTGTTTCCTATTTATGAATATTGTAATGCTTATATTGAACACAGAGTTTCTCATGATTATTGGAAAACAACTTTTCGATATAAAAGAATTATATATTATGAAATTTTAAATGAGATCAATTGTTTTAAATCCAACTTATATTTTAATTTTTTGAATATGAGATGGAAGGTGCAAACTAAACATCGGACTTGTAGATTTTTTTCAGGCTTGCGTATCTATTTAACTTTTTTTCAACAATAAACATTTTTCCGGACAAAAAAGTTTGTTTGGTAAATAAATAAATAAATATATATATATATATATATATATAGATATAAAACACGAAAAAATCTTAATTTTAAAAGCTAAGAATTTGTGTTTTTTTTTAATCTAATAATATATTACGTTTTCCTCTAATTTTGACTTGACTTTCTTGAACTCTTCCTGGCTAAGGAAAAAAAAAATCCACTGCGATAATTCTCTTCATTTTCTATTTTCACTAATCCAAAACTTTTCTGGGTCTCGCGTCGGGGAGCGTCATCGTTTCCCTTCTCCGAGATTCTTCGTGAAATCCCCATACGAGAACTTTTCCTGCTATAGATTTTCCTTTTTCGTGTGGGTTTTTCAATTTGATTTCCTCGATCCTGCTTCGGATTTCCTCGCTTCTGTTTGATCGGCGAGAAAATGGGTCAACAACAATCGAAGGACGAGCTGCTTTATCAACAAGTGAGTTACGGCAATGCGGCTGGGATCAAAGCCCTCCGGAGAGACGGTGCAGGCCTCGAGGTTCGTTCTCCAAAATCTCGAACTTTCGTCGATTTTGATCCGTGGGTCTTACAGAATTCTTCAAATTAGGGTTTCACCAATTGTATTCTGAATTATGATTTTGTTTCGGGTGCAGTGGATAGATAGAGAAGGGAAAACGCCATTGATCTTGGCCTGTATGTCAGCTGAGTTATATGATGTTACAAAAACTCTTATTGAATTGGGCGCCAATGTTAATGCTTATCGATCTGGTATGTCGGAGAATCTTCCCTTTTTCCTTTCTCTGATCCTCTGTGAAATTTTGTTGCTGAATTGATGTAGTTCGCGAAATTCGATGTCTTGTTTGTGTTCATGTAGTCATATAACAGTATATGGGGCAGGATTTGAGGTGGAAATAGCTGATTCAATCTGAAATTTGATTCATATGACACTGGGATTTTTGGGAGTTTGAGATTCCTAATGACAATGGAGATTGTTTCATGTTTTTTGGGGAAAAAACATTCTTGTGGTTCGAGGAGATGATTTTCCAAATTATGCTGAGGTTATCTAGATTCTTGCATTCAGAAATTGTTTGTAGAAACCCTACTCGGAAGTCAGTGAATGGCATGTGATGTGATTAGTTCGTGAGGTGATTTTCTTTCATCCTTGTTTATCAGGTCGTCATGCCGGAACTCCTTTGCACCATGCTGCAAAAAGGGGTCTAGAGAACACCGTTAAGTTACTTCTTTCACACAGTGGTAAGATTTTAGGATCTTTCTGCATATGCGATGATCGATAACTTCGTATCTTTTTTTCGGTGTCTTGTTAAGTTTTGGTCTGTTCATTTTCATAGCAAATCCACTGGTTTTGAATGATAATTGTCAGACACCACTCGAGGTTGCTCGAGTTAAGGGGTACAGCAATGTTGTACGTGCAATCGAGGTATACTTATACCACCTTTTCTGTATAAGTTGTAACCAACCAGTGAAAGATATGAATGCTCATAAATAGAATCCTTTTTTGTGTGTAATTTGATCATGCAGAGTCATATCTGCTTGTATTCTGGTTGGATGAGGGAATTTTACGGCCCTGGCTTTCTCGAAGTGTTTGCTCCTCAGCTCCTCTCAAGAAGAGTGTGAGTTTTAATTTCACCTTTAATATCTGATATCATATTTTCTTTTGTTGTTATGTGCAATGGGTATAACCAACTTCAAAACTTATATTTTGCAGATGGGTAGTTATCTTGCCAACAGGCTCTCGAAACCCGACAAAGCCTTTCAAGTTGGAGCTCTCTGTATATGCTAGTCTGCAGGTTCTAAGATCAATAATTTAAGCAGCTTCCACACTATGTTAAAGATTGATGATTGCATCCGATTAATCTTACGAATATCCGGGAAGAACATAAAACGGTCATTGACCTTTGATGTTTTAAAGGGTTTAGCTTGGAACCTTTCCAAAGAAAGAATATTTTTCCATCTGCCAAACTATGCATATGCCTAGATTTTCTAGCTCGGTACCCAATGCAGTGTTTCTGATATGATCAGGATGCTCAGCCACGGACAAGGATGGAGTTGTGGAAAGCCAATTTGGAGGAGCCAAAACCAAACCAGTCTGATTCTTCAGTGATCATTATTGATAACTCTACAAGTACATTTCTTCATACTTCTATGCAAATGGAATCCGCATCTTTCCTGTGCATCTGTATGTTTTGACATGGATGGATTGCATAGTCTCATGGATGTTGATTGAAATTTTGTTCCATCAGTTTTAGAACGATATTTCCTTATTTATAGACAATGTAGGGCTCCCTTTTTCTGATGTTCACATTCCTAAGCTGCTGAAATTGTTTACGAGGAAAATATAATAGCCGAGGCAATTCTGCTAACTTGTTGCTGAAGATCTCTAGATTGATGTCTATGTGTTTTCTTGCATTATAAACTAGAATCATGTGATCTTCCTTCTCCTTGTCTCAGAATTGCGTCTTAAACTCGCACCTGCAAATGAGGGTGACAGAGAACAGCTTCATCGGTTCTGTGATGCATGCAAAGGAATTCCACAGGTATGTTTCAGAACAGAAACCCGGGATTTTTTTGTACTCTGCTGTCGGTATATCTGATAATTGGTTTTCCCATTGATGCATCTCTCTGAAACATTCTTGGATTTTGCAGTCGATGAATCCACCGGCCTTTATGCGAAACCCTCAAACAGCTTCTGCTCCACCGACTTCAGAAGATCTCGAATTGGCTATGGCGATCAATGCTTCTCTTCAATCAGCAACGAATCAGATGCCTGGTTTAGATCACTGTTCCATTAGTGAAGAAGCTAGTTCATCATCAACTGTTCCTCCTCCTCCTCCTCCTCCTCCTGAGGCAAGAGCCAGTGATTTCACTACACATGAAGGTACCATTCCGGAAGAGCCTAAACCATCAGCTCCTCCGTTTGTGGATGATGTAATAACAACAGCGGGGGAGAACGGTCACATTCACTACCCGTCAATAGATTCAAGCCCTATCGAGGTGCCATCTCTTTCCCCTGTAATGTCGGTTCCCGCAACTGGCGAAAAGAACGAGGAAGGAAGCTCTGGAACGTGTTCGATATGTCTGGATGCGCCATCGGAAGCAGCTTGTGTCCCTTGCGGGCATGTCGCTGGATGCATGTCTTGCTTGAATGAGATCAAATCCAAGAAATGGGGTTGTCCGGTTTGTCGAGCCGAGATCAACCAGGTCATCAAACTGTATCGTGTCTGAAAACTTTTCGAGGTAACATCTTGTTCGCCATTGAAACTTATCTCCAATGGCAGCAATCGCAGACTCTGCTGAAAGCTCGTGGAGGTTTTAAAAGAGTTTGAAAATATGTCTCTATGTGTGAAAATGTTTATAATATGGACAGTGAATATGATACTGTGTATATATTTATATATATGTGTGGTTTTGGTGAGGAACGAACGAGAATTATGAAACAGTATTCAGTATGTTTAATACCCGTAATTGCCATGAAACTTGGAATGTTTTTGTGTTTTTTTTTATATATATATTTTGGTTGGTAAGTATGGCAGGATGATATTTATTCGGTTGGTATTTCTTGCAGTTTTGTTAATTTTCTCTAATATAGTTTGATTTTTAGGGATCTTAAATCTTAATCACCATAACTTTTATGAAAGCTTTCTTGATAGTGTCTGATTTTTGTATTTCGTTATACTCCCTCACTTGATCCTTTATAAATTATATTTTTTTGTTATTAAATTGATATCTCTTTAGATTTTTTTAACAATTTTTTAAAATAATTATCAAATTTACTCTTAATCAAAACTAATAAATTTAATAAATATTAATTATATTTTATATTTAACCTATTAAAGAAGAATTTAATGGTATATATGATTTTTTTTATATTTTTTTAAAATTAAGAAAAAAGCTTTTTTTATAAATGAGTGAATCACGATAATATATAATAGTCTATAAATGATGAGGTTTAGAAAAAAATTTATATTATGAAGGGTTAGAATCCATAACTCCTAATTAGAGAAAAAAGAGTTAAATCGCAAATGATTATGAAAACAAGTAAAGAATCTCGAAATCCAGCAATCTTTGATTTTCATTTTAGTTAATAGTTACAAATTAGGAGACTTTATTTTTTTTGGGGAAAAAAGAATCGTAATGAAAGAATTTAAATTGTCCCAAAAAAGTAAGGAACGCATAATAAAAGGTGGAGATGAACCTAGTACGGCAAAGCTAATGAACTGATGCTGTCCGAAGAATTTTTCTACTAATCACTCTTTAAGTATCTGTCCACATTTCCTTTTTTACCCCCCCCCCCCCATAAATTAAATATTCCAACGTAAAATGATTTAATTTAATTAAATAAAATGCAATATTGTGTAAACTGGAAGAGCTGTTTTCTTTTTCTGTATTGTTATTCAAATATAAAAGAGCATGGTTTTATTCAAGTTTTCACCATATTAAACCCAATGAAAACCAATTTCACTCTATAATAGATATGCATATGGACGAAGACAAATGATTGGATTAGAAGAAAATTAGCAAAAATAAAATCGAGCCCATCAGGCCATTGCCACGATAGATATCATCATCATCATCATCATCATCATCATCATCATCATCATCATCATCATCATCATCATCATTAATGTTATTATTGTTGTTGTTATGAATGGAGGAGAGGCCAAAACGGAAACAAACCCTACTTGCACTGTGACTAAGAGAACCCGTACAGTGCCATTGATGGACCCATCCTTTCTTCTTCACTGCTCCACAATTCCATACATACATACATACATACATACATACATACATACATACATACATACATACATACATACACATACATACATACGTACGTATACATACATACATACATACATACATACATGCATACATACATACGTACGTACGTACGTACGTACGTACATACATACGTACGTACGTACATACATATACTCTCCCATCTGTCATTATATTTCTGCAACAAGTTACCTGTCGCGTCATAAACTCAATCGGCAGGGATACTTTCGTCATTTTCCACCAGGGTGTTGTCAATCAATTTCTCTAAAAGAAAAAAAAGGTGACATTTATATATATATATATATATATTATAATTTAATTGATTGTTTCGACATTTGATTCCCCCTTATTAAAAAAACATAAAAGAAATGTTTTATTAGCATAAACTAAAATATTATATTCTTTTGTGTGATCTTTAGTGGTGTAAAAATACAGTACAGTTTAGGTCACTGTTATCCTATCATAGACTGGCACTAAACAAATTTTCACTCGGGATTCCTATCCACATGTGTGATAATAATTGGTTATCGTTATATAATTTCTTTCAGCCCAATATAAAATTAAATAGATATAATTTTAAAATTAAATTGATTAAATAAAAAATGAATTATGGTGAAGATTTTAAAATAAAAATGTTTTGTAAACAAATAAGTCTGAATCTTGAAATTCTTTACAAGAATATGACATATATGTATTATATATATATGTATAATATACATATAGAGAGAGAGAGCCAGATTCTCTAAATATATCGTTAAATTTTATTGTGATTATTTAACTAATTGAACAAATATCAAATTTAACAAAAAAAAAAAAACAAATATCAAATTCGGGATAATAAATTGATTATAGAAGTCCATAAATGGCAATGGCAACGGTTAACGAAAGATGATGGGGACAGGCTCATAGTCATATGTCGGTTCCCTTCTTTTCCGGAATCAAAGTGATATGAAACTATCTGATTTATTTCTTAAAAAAAACTTAATAATGCAAAATACATTTTTTAAATCAAAATGAAGAGTGCAAAATTAAGAAAAATCACAGTCATATTTTTATAAGAATATGACACTGATATTTAATTTACGTGTGTATATACATATGTATATACAAGTATGCATACGTGCGCCTACCCTTGTGCATACACAATTATTAGATAGGGTTGAGGAGACAAAACAGGTTATTTTCTCGGTATGTTGCTCCTTAAATATGCAGAATTGTGATCGAAGACTAACTGTAAAAAATCATTAGGGTAATTTCATTGAGCAATCATGTTAGATTGGATCTAGGAGTAATTTTTTTTACTTCTAGTAGTTACCATACATACTAGACGATCTAAATAATAGATATGTTGTAGTATATAATCCCCTCCTCTCTCTCTCTCTCTCTCTCTTTCTCTCTCTCTCTCTCTCTCTCTCAGAGCATCCATTATCGTCTGAGAGCTAATATCGTAATCTCGAGTAAAATCCTCCTCAAGATTATCATCCAAGAAATACAAAAACCCTAATCCGATATCAAGAATCAATGGATCCAGTCCACAGCTTTGTCGGCACAACAAACACTGCTGCGCAAAACACAAATGCTATGGTCGTTACCGCAACTACGTCGTCGTCGCCGTCGTCAAGCGGCTCGACGACGAACCAGCTGAGCCGTTACGAGAACCAGAAGAGAAGGGATTGGAACACTTTCGGACAGTATCTCCGCAACCACCGACCTCCGCTCTCTCTCTCCCGTTGCAGCGGAGCTCATGTTCTTGAGTTCCTCAGGTACCTCGACCAGTTCGGCAAGACCAAGGTACTTGGCTTACATGTTACACTCATACATATAAATATACGTGTATATACATATATTTGTATATGACCCTTTTCTTTTTTCTTTTTTTTTTTAATCCTTTTTACTGCAAAATCCAAACTCTATCCACTCATTCTCTAGATATTGACTTGATCTTGATACAGAAAATCTCAAGTAGAGTTCTACTAATTAAGCTCCCGGGTTCATATCCGAGGTCAAATCGGAAAAGATAATCAGAATTTTAATTTTGATTTCTTGGTCTGTTTCTTCAAATATTCTCCATCTTTAGCGATCTGAATGTATCCATGAGTTTGACTATTACAATTATAGGATGACTTGTTCAATCAGTTTTCTCCCGACATAACTTTCAGTGATGTAATAAGGTTAAGTCTTATACGCATCATTGAAACTTTCAAATCAACAGGTTCACACACAACTATGCCCGTTCTATGGCCACCCTAACCCGCCTGCGCCCTGCGCCTGCCCGCACCGGCAAGCATGGGGCAGCCTCGACGCCCTCATAGGTCGTCTAAGGGCAGCCTTTGAGGAGAACGGTGGCTCGCCAGAGACGAACCCTTTCGGCGCACGAGCGGTCAGGCTCTATCTAAGGGAAGTTCGTGACTCTCAGGCCAAGGCTCGAGGAATCAGCTACGAGAAGAAGAAACGAAAACGGCCGCCGCAAACGCAACCGCAGTCGCAAACGCTGTTCCAAGCCGCGGTTTCCGGCGATCTCAAGTAACCCTCGTTTCGAAATCACGGGTAAAGACAATGTATAAATGTCAGCTTTGAAATGTCTCGTTTAAAGTCTAATGAACATACATGCAGAGATCAATAAAAACTCTATTTCGCCTTCGTTTTTCTTAGACTAAAACATGAAATTAGATTTTGTCCATGCGCGTTTTTTGTATTGTTAAATCAAACAAATTTATGACAAGACCGAATTAGAAGTTTTGGAGGTAAAGTTAGTAGTTGTTCTTAGTTCATGTATAACCTACGGGTTTTCGGGTATCCGACGTCATGAGTATTTGGAATATAGATACTCGCTATATATATAACGAAGACGAAAACGAGTTCAATAAAACCAAGAATCTATACTGCGAATTCGAGTTCAGTTTTTGTTTGCACGGCGATTGATACCCTCGGATATCTGGATACCTGGATACGAATAAAGTGATATTATATCTTTGTTATTTTAATGTATTTATAATAATTATTAAATATATTTTTAAATTAAATTATTAAAATACTTCTAAAGTCAATAAAAGTCAACATTTTTTAAGATTTGAACGGATTCGGATATCCTCCGCCAATCGAATTCAACGACACACATCCGAGATACGAGTATCTAGGTTCACAAAAACGAAAACGAGATGATATTTGAAAACCCGCGAAGACGAAAACGAATCTCAAATATCCCAAAAATTCAGGGTGCTCCATTTGTGACCATCCCTAGCCAATAATGTTACCCGTAGAAAATCCTATACGTGCAATATTACAACGTGGTTATATACGATAGGACATGACAAGAACATAAAGCTTTTTGCAGAATCAAAATTTGTTTCTTCGTGTATTTTCATGGCTATTTGTTTTTCTGCCTATATGTGTTAGGGTTTCCTGTGATGACCTAATTTCATGTGGAATTGGCAAATCATTCAGTTTCTTGTCATCGTATAGTAAAAGTCTTTTTTAGTTCATGCAGAAAAAATTTATTTTCCATGTCAGCAATTCGTTCACCTTCCAGTTTTTTCGTATTTATTGTATGATTTTTCTAAAGATTAGACGTATATTTTTCTTTGAATTTCATTGCATATATTAACTTGAAATTTGATTTTTGGACCAAGCTAGAACATATTTTTATTAGCGCCCTATTTCATAAATATCAAATTCTGGTCTTTGGATTTTGGACCATGGCCGGTATGTAAGATGATAGCATCTTAGATTTTTTCTGCAATATGTCGTATCAGCCGAAGATTTTTCCCAATTTGGAGAAGTTATATGAAATTTAAAATGATCCTTTATCCACATGAACCCTAATCTTACACATACAGATTTACACGTATATAATTTATATTTCTGTATATATATATATATATATATATATTCGCATGATTACAGATTTATTTTGCAAGGAACTGATTAAAATATTATATATCACTAATCAACTACAAAAAAATGGCCATTTTCAACGGATAAATTCGTTGAAATTTCGTCGTTGGAAATCGGTGTCCGTTGTCTAACCGCAATCCGTTAGAATTTTCTAACGAAAAATTCAAAACATATTCTCGATCCCGATCCCGACCCCGACTACGATCCCAACCCCGATTCCGAAGCTCACTTCCCAATAGGTCATCCATCCTTCCACTGCTCAAGCTCAATCCTCCTTAACCCTAGAGTTCCAATTGACATTCATCCAATTGCTCCAATTTAAACTTCTGATATCATATAACATTAATATATATATATATAAATGTTTATACATATAAATATTTATATATATAGATACACACATACACACATACATATATACATATATATATATATGTATATATATTTATGTATATACACATTCGAATTCATATATATATATATAATATTTGTTATGTATATGTATATGGTTAATATAGACATATCGATATATATATATATATATATATAT